GTCACCTTGCCACGTGTTGGTACTCAGAAAATATATCCCCACAAAAGGTATTGAAAGCGAGCCACTGAGAGAGGTTTAGTAAAGATATCTACGATTTGATCAGTAGTAAGAATATAAACAATGTGGAGAGACTTGGCAGCAAACTGTTCTAAAAAAAAATGATAGTCCACCTCAATATGCTTTGTACGGGCATGAAAAATAAGATTATGAGCCATAGCAATGGCAGAAAGGTTATCACACCACAGAGTAAGAACAGGGGCATAAACATGAAACTTAGTGAGAAGCATGCCAAGCCAACACAGTTCGGCTGAAGTTTAAGCTAAAGCTCTGTATTCGACTTCTAAGGAAGATCTGGACACAATAGGATGCTTCTTAGCAGTCCAAGAAATGAGATTGTGACCAAGGTAAATGCAATATCCAGTTGTAGATCTTCTGTCAAGAGTACTACCAGCCAATCTGAATTAGAGTAGGCATTAAGAAGAAGAGGACCATGAGAGAAATGCAGTCCATGAGCCAGAGTACCTTTCACATAGCTTCACAGCAACAAAGTGACAATTCAAGGGAGATTGTATGAATTAACAAACAGTGTTGACTGCAAAAGCCAAATCTGGAACAAGTGGTAAACATCATATCGGTTTAACCAACTTGTAAATTGTTACAAATTTCAACAAGTGGTAAGCATATTCTTCTTCTCTCTGCCCCCTGCATGGCTTCCACATACTCCTTTGCGAACCTTATAAAAGGTCTTCAACCTGGCTAACTGCAGTCCAACCTTGTGTGTTTTCTTTTTTTATCTTCTGGGATCTGAGATTTGCTCACTGAGCTCTTCTCTTCTCGGACTTAAGTGCCGAGATCTTGTCTGCTAGAATCTTGAATCTGCTCACTCAGGTTGAGCTCTTCTCTTCTCGGACCTACTAATCTAGCCGAGATCATGTCTTCTAGGATCCGGGATCTAGGATCTGGAATCCGGGATCTGCTTACTTAGGATGAGTTCTTCTATACTTGAATGTTATCTCCTTGGGAGCGCTCATGCCCCCCTGTCTTTGCATCCCTTCTGGAAGGGTCTTCGTTCCTCCGCAGGTATCTATCTTTCTATACCTAGAGGTCATCTTCGTTGTAGTATCCGCTTCGATCTGTTGTCTTTGGTGCGTCACCTTTCTGGCCGGCGTCTTTCACTCCGTGACTCTGGTCACGAGTTTCTGTGTTGTGGTCGTCCCCTTCAACGTCGAGGTTCATAGGTCTCCCACTCCCAGCAGGAGCGTTGTCTCCAATCTGATCATTCTGTCCATCATTGGCCATCTATTCTTCTTTCTTTCATTGGCCATCTATTCTTCTTTCTTTCCTTGGCCATCTATACTTCTTTCTTTTCCACAGACGATGCCAAATTGTGTGAGTGATTTTCTGACTACACTGCCAGCTTAGTGACCAGCTGGAGGGCACCGGCAGAATAGATTGCACCTGGCTGACCTGCAATAGAAAGAGAAGATTCCGGCGGTGGTTCGTCCACCCGGGGGCACTCCGACGATCAAGTCTGTATATCTCTCAAAGATAAATCAAGTGCTAAACTCACAAGCTTGAGTATCAAAAGCATACTTTAGACCCATGGGGGTGCCTCTCTTTTATAGCCAATATAAACCTATACTTTAGACCCATGGGGGTGCCTCTCTTTTATAGCCAATATAAACCTAGTCCCAATAGAAGCCTAACTTCTATGGACTCAAGATTACTGCTAACCTTGGACTCCCGGTTGAATTAGGATAAACTCTCTAAGAGTCCTATCTTTACCCAAACTGAAGTCCTCTCCCATTCTAGGACTTTTACCCCTCATCCGTTTATCTCAGATTCCGATATCTTCAGAGGTAACCTCGGCCTATCCGAGATGACCTCGGCATAACAACCAGGACACGTGGCACCTCGGCTGACACATCGGTGTCACCTTGGCCACGTGTTGGTACTCAGAAAATATATCCCCACACGCACATTTATGAGCATTACAAACGTTGCAAGTGCGGTGAATTCAATCCGGATTGTATTTATTATCTATTAGAGTCCCACCCAACCCAATAATCTGATTCAACCTGGCACTTGGTCTGGGCTATATTATGACCCGATTTGATGCTATTCAAATCTTGTATATAATATAATGGTTTATTTTAGGGTTCTAAGGTTTTACGGTATTTGAGAGTTTTTGTAACAAACAGTTGTGGTTAGATCCATCTTATTGTATTATCTATTTTCATAGTGAAATTTCTCTATTGTTCTTCGCATTGAATTACATAAATCCTTGTGTGCTTAATGTATTTGTTTTGTTGCTTATTTAATTTCTGATTCTGTCTTCACAATAAATTTGCTGGTTGTGATTGAATGGCAGTTTATATGTTTGATCTGGTTGGATTAGAATGTGATCATTAAAATAAAATAAAGTAAAAAAATTGACTAAAAACCACGGAAAACTTTACTAACAATAAAAATACGAAAAATTAACTAAACCAAATTGCTACGTTTTTGTATTTTTGTATTTTTTTGACAGTGGCACCAAATCCACATTAGGCTGATATAAGATGTTATTAAATTGTTATTACAAAGCACTCTGATTCAAGTCGTCTAATCTAAACATTCCAAAATTCTACTTAAAAATTCAGAAGATGTTACAATGAAGTGGAATTTTACAAGCCAATGGACACAATACTCTCTATCTGAATAGATTTAGAGGATTTGGATTGCTTGAAAGTTTAGAATTTCTAAGCTCTTTACAAACATGATCTAACATTCCCAAAAAGTCCCTCACAATCACAAAAATTCGAAGCGGGTTGGCTTCTTCTTTGCTCACATCTCCATGAAAGTACTCAGTAATTTCTCTAACATGTAAAAGTACTCGCCCTTCGTCTTCCCTCAACTCCTTTAGATTGTTCTCCACGTAACCAAGGAATGATCTCATTGACTTCACAAAATTCGCACTCTTTTCATCGACACACAAGTCCTTAATAATTAGATGTTTCAACTTAGTCATTCCGTCTGATAGGTTTGAGACTGAGCTTGCAAGAACATCCAAATCTATAGTGGCGGTCTTTTTCACATTGCATAGTTCGATACTTAGACCTAAAACAAGATCTAGGCCCATCCTCCTGTAATCTTCTTCTCTTTCTTCGGCATTTTTGGTTTTGCCTTTTTGACTTATCTTCCCCATAATGCTCTCTGACACTCTGATTCCTTCTGACCGAACAATTTCTTGGACAACAAAATGGAGAAGTGTAGTTCTCCCATCGGTTCCTTTCACATCCGCGAGCTTTAAGAGAGCGTCGAGCTTGAATGCTTTGGCACCTCCTCGGATTGTTCCAACATTCATTCTATTTCCTGTTTTGAGGACTGCTTCAAGTAGTTTTAGGAAGAGCCGACTTGATCTAAGTTCTTTGCAAGCTTCCTAATAGAAAAAAAAAGGAAAAAAAAAATAATACAAAAATAGATCAATCGTTGAAAAAAGAATTTTGGTTGGTTATCAAAGAATTTTTTTTTTTTAAACTAAACATTTGGTGTTTGAACCATTGATGGTTAGATGATGATGATTACCTCTAGCATTGAGAAAGATTTTCTGAGATGAACAACTTCATCTTCAAAAGTTTCTCTGTAAAGCATGGCTTCAATTCTTGAAAAGGCCAAAGGAATGCTAAGCATTGCCTTAACAAACTGCTCTGCAGAGCCCAATTCATTAATGTTTCCTTTATAGTTTGTCAGCTTTGCTGCTTCTTCCTTGGTTGGTTCCATCTTCACCAGTGCTTCTAGTTGTTGTAAGCTCAAGCCCTCCCCTGCTTTTGCAGATTTTCCAAATTTAGAGCACAAAATAGATACTTAAAAAAGTGTAAATTACACACAGAAAAAAGTTTGATAACTCTAAAAAGTCATCCCTAACTTTACCCACAGCGAAATGACTTGTTAAGTGTCAACTTTTGGTTTGTAAAAAATTTAACCATTTAAGACCCTACTCCATTGTCATGTCATTGTTGGTGAAATGTGTGTTATAATTATGGTTCTCTAGCATTCCTGTTACACAAATTATCCCAAAAATCAACCAATTATTTTATTTTGATTCTAATATTTAGTTTGTATCAATTGCTAGTCCCATCCCCTAATTTTCGTTTAAAGAATAAACAAAAAATACTTACGTCAAAATCACGTCAAGCACTGAAGGGCATTGAAGACATTTTAACATATCTGTTTATGCTGAATACAATCAATCGAAGAGGCAAACATGCTATGCATTTTTCTCTCAACCATGTTTGGGGATTTTAGGAATTGACTCGCATTTCATTTAGACGGAAAATGGTATAAATTTCTCCCATGTGCTTAAAATGCTTAATGCGAGGTTAATATAAGCATTTTCTGTATGTTTTTTAGACAACATTTAGACGAAAGTCGGCCTTAGTGATCCAATGGTGCCGAGTGGAAGGGCCGTCACTCAACGGATAAAAGTTGCTCTAGGGATAACGGGCTGATCTTCCCCAAGAGCTCACATCGACGGGAAGGTTTGGCACCTCGATGTCAGCTCTTCGCCACCTGGGGCTGTAGTATGTTCCAAGGGTTGGGCTGTTCGCCCATTACCATTTAACATAATACACTTGTTTTCTGTTGTGTGATAATGGTTTGATATTTTTAGTTTAGGTTTTCTTATCAATTAAATTGTGAAAGTGTTGCATGACTATTGGAAACACAAATTCATTTTTAAGCACAGATGCTATTTCCTTCTTCATTGTTTTTGCCTAGAAAAGCATATTGTTGCGGTTACAATCTCACTGAAATTTTTTGTTCATCTATGCTTGCAATCACAAATTAATAGAGTTTTATGAGTATTACCTTGTATCAATGCATCACAAATTTGCTCAGCAGTCACATTCACAGCTTTTGACAATATGGTTATGTTTTGTAGTCTCTTAGGTTCAAGGACATGCTTGCTTGGAGAAGGGCTCTTGCTCTTTGCTTCGTCGTTCTTCGTAGAAGTTTGAAGATCATAACCAAACAGTGATTCGATCATCTCCTCATCAAATCTGTTCCACATATCATTAGACTGTTGAAATGCAAAAACATAATGATAAGAAGTGAATTATTATAACTTGCAAAACGCAATATGTCTTACTCAAATGAGCTCGATCTGAGCTTGTCCCACACCATAGAACGATTTGGCGCGGCTCTAACTTTGTCCCAATGAAGAGGTTTCAGTTTTGGCAATGGAACTCCATCTTTCCCCAATGGCGTAAGCTGATATGGTGGAGGAGGTGGTGGGCCTCTGAGAGGGTTGTCACTAATTCCTTTAAAAAATGGGGGCGGACATGGTGGTGGAGGAATACCCACTAAGGGCTTAGGCGGATTAGGAGGCGACGGTGGCAATTCACATTGTGGGGTTTGATTTGATCCTGAAGAAGAATCCGAGCTTCTTGGTGATGACGAAAATGGGAGTGTATGAGAACTCAAAACTCTGGACATAATCCGAGTCGAACAAGAAGAATTAGAACGAGAAATGCGTAAACGCGAGGAAGGAAGGGGAGGAGGAGGTGGTGGTGGTGGCGGGGGTGTTTTTAAGGAAGGAGTGGAGGCAGTGGCAGTGGTGGCGGTGCATTGATCATGGGGAGGACATGTTTTTAAGTCCATTGGAGAGGTCACAGAACAAGGTGATGTGATTGATCTTTTTGGAGACAAAATGTGAAATTTCTCACTTGGACTACCGGCTGAAGCATTTGAAAGCCGCACATTCGCTGATTGAAAAGATTCATCATCGGACGAATGAAATTCATCAGATTCATACTTCACTGACTCAACTGTCTCATGAACCGACACAATTTCACAACAACTAACATTATCAGACTCAGATCTTATTATTGGTTCTTTCTTTGATTCTTCTTGATGCAATTCTTCACAACTTCTTGTGTTTTGGTTTGATAATTTATTCTCAGTTTCAGAAAATTGCTTGACAGTACCCAATGAATCAAGGCAAAACAAGTCCACCAAGTCAAGATCAGAGCTTACCTTCTTCTTCACTGAAGTTTGAGAATTTGCATACTTTGATTCACATTTTGACACTGGAATTCTTCTTCTTGTGGATCTCTTTCTCTGTCTTCTGAATCTCCGGCAAACACAGATGAGTCCAATGACACACAGTGCAAAGGTAGCTCCAACAGACACAAAAACTGATACTAGAATTTTTTCAATTCTACTATTATTTCCATCTCTATCTTCATTTCTAGTCTTTTTTCGCTGTCGGATGGGACTGAAATGGTGAAATGGATGATGGGTATGATGCATTGGAGCAGAAGGTGGAGCTGGAGCTGGAGCTGGAGTTGGAGCTTCAATGGTGGGTGATGATGGAGATGGTGATGGTGATAACCCATACCCCTGTTCATTATCAGTAGGTGTTTGAGTTTTGCTTTTGAAGCTCTTCAATCCAAGCAAAGCTCTGAACTTTTCAATGATCTGAGCTTCTTTATCTTCACTCTCATCCTCTCCTGAGACCTTCTCAATAATGTTCTTCTCTGGTAGGCCATGATGACCATTGAAGAAGTAGTCTGTTTCAGCTGCATTCAATGAAGCATTTGCAACCCAAATGTGGGTACTTTGGAATGATATGAACATGAAGATGGTGGTGGTGATGATGAACATCATGTGGTTAATCTGAGAACCACAACTCATGTTCTTCTTCAAACCCAAAGTCACCAAGAAATGAATTTACCTTTCTGTATATAAATCCAGCTCATCTCTTTGTTTGTTTCTCTGCTTGTTTTGGGTGGTGGGGAGTGAAGTGTAGTCAAGAATATCTATTAGAGTCTTTAATGCTACTCCAAGGAACCTCTGAGCACTGGCAGGTGTGGTGGTATGGTACTGGTCCTTTTATTTCTTCTCTTCTTCTTGTCTTCTCTCTTCACCATTAATTCCCTCTCTTTGCCACTGTTTTAATCCCCTCCTCTTTTGGTAGCCTGCTTTCACCACGTCAATTCTGGTTCAACTAATTACTGTAACCATACTCTCTAAAAGTGAGATTTGATGGTCTACTTTATTGGTACATAAACTGAAAAAATTGAGACCTCTAAGTCTATTTTGGTCCAACTAATTATAATTAACATACTTCATAAAAGTAAGATTCAATATTCTACTTTAACGGGATTCACCTTCTCAGAAATATGAAAAAGTGAAATCTCCACATTTATTTGGATCCAATTTTATGGTCAACATACACAGTAAGATAAAATCCGATATTTTATTTTATCTCCTCCTAAAAATGTGAAAAAATGAGCACCAATAATTTCACCTCTTTGGGGGAATATTTCACTAATTGAACTTTGGTTCTATTCTTGTGTCTTATCCTCTGTTTATGTCCTTTGTTGGAGAAAAGTTGAGCATGTTTTTTGAGGTATTTTTATCACTCACACAACACCACCAACTTCTTCAGTTTAAGTGAGAGGTTTAAAAGAATTTATGATGTGAAATCAGATTCATGATTGTTAGAGTTGAATCAAACACTTAGCTAAAAGACATCAATTAACTAATAAATATAAAAGTGTGTTTGGTGGGGTCCAAATTGGTTGGACTTGCCTTCTCTTTTAGGGAGGGTGATATTGTTAGGTTTTGGCCAACCCCTACATTATTAGAGAGAGAGAGAGAGAGAGTCCATCACTTTCTCTTGTGATCTTCATAATGAGCTACAAGAACGGCGAGAGCAAGATTTTAATTTTAAATAATGTGAATCAAAAAGACCCGCTATAGAGACCCCTATGTCTCTTTCACACACGTTATTTATTCATTTATCTCTATTAGCAATTTAGCAGGTGTAATGTTATTGTTGTTTGGTTTTTTAGGGTTTGCAAGAAGCATTTTTATGGTTTGGTGAGTAACAATTATGCTGTGTTTGGTTGGAGAATTTGAGAAGGGATTTGGAAAGAAAAATAGAAAAGGTATGTGAAATGAGAATAAAATATGCCTAAATTTCACATAGTTTCATACACCTCTTCCCTTTCTCTTTTTAAATCTCTCCCCAAATCCTCTAACCAAACACAACATTAAAGTCCATTTTGTAGCCCATACCCATACAGGTAGATTGTTAGCCTGTGTCGGTGTGTTTCTCACCTAACAAACAGAGTGAGATGGAACATTCAAAACCACAACACACGTAATTCCCTGGTCAACTGGCTTGGCTTAGCCGCTATGACATGCCATGGACTTTCTATTTCATCACCACAAAACTCTCAATTTGTGCTATTTTTTTTTTTTCTTGATATGTGAATTATTGAACAAAAATTCATAGTTTGGATTGTTTGGGAACTTTAATTTTTAGCTAACAAATTATTATAAATTATGTCTTTCGTAAAATGTTAAAAAATTATTAAAATATTAATTCCCAAACACCCTTAATTATTGAATGAAAACACAATTTAGTAGTTGATATCCAAATAATTAATTTTTGTTGAGTAACTGATATCATTTTTTATCCATATAACTAATAAATTATTAATAAATAAAGTTAAATGTTATGTGAATTAAAATATCAAGGAAGCTTATTATACTTAGGTCAAAACTATGAGACTTACTATATTTTCTCTAAATCTGAAGGGAAGCCAATGTAATTTACCCAATTATAAATTATAATTGGATGAACATATGGACACGTGAAATTTCGAATCTACTAGATAATTTATACCAATTTATAAGATTGTATGTAATTGTTTATTTCTTACAAAATTTCGACTATTTCTTGCCGTAACTGCTGGGTTTAGTGACTATTAAATTTAATTGTGTAGTTTAATATAAAATTTTCATATTTATTTTTTCAATTAATAAAAATAAATATTAAAGAGGGGGCTTGATTCAAAAGTCCAAATTCGGATTTCTTTTGTTCAAACGTTCAGACGCTACTTTATTATGTCCATAAGGACAAGACAATGTAGAATGACCTAAATACCCCTTCACATTTCACTCTCATATACTATTCATCACTCTCACTCACCCATTTTAGGATTTTCATTGCTCTCTCAAGACAATGCAGAATGACCTAAATACCCTTCCACATTTCACTCTCATATGCTACTCATCACTCTCACTCACCCATTTTAGGATTTTCATTCCTCTCTCTCTCCCCCATGCTTTGTTGATCTCAACCGTCGTCGTCGTCTCCATCATTGTCGTCGTCGTCTTTATCATACTACCATTGTCGTCGTCTCCATCAGCGCCGTCATTGTTGATCTCAGCGTCACTCACAACAACCTCCGTCGTTATTGATCGTTGTCGTCGTCCCCCAATCTTTACTAATCTCACGTTTGTGCCACCTGTGGTTGTCATTGAAGTTTCCATATCGAGCAAGAGGAGTTTAACTACTTCTCCATTACCGTTGATCTCAGATTTATGACCACTGCCTTTAATAGCGTCATCTATTATCGAACACTCTCTCTTCTCCGCTACCACCTCTATTTCTGTCGCTATTGGCGACATAAACTGTATCGGGATTTGGATCTATAAGAGAGAGAGATTTGTGGTTGATCACTCAATCTCAAAACTAAACCAATCTCTCAACTTGAAAGACAATTCTAGGGATAGGGTTTTGGACATTGCACTCTCTTTGATGTGCTTCAAAGCTCTATAGGTCAGCCTCCACTCAAAATGGTTACTGCGAACCATCTAAGGTTTTACTAGTTTGATGTATTAAGTGTGTGGGTTGTTTAGGTATTTGATTCAGAGATTGAATATCTAGTAAAGACAATTGTTACTGTTTTGTCCTCGTTCCATCTTCGGCGTTGATCTACGAACCAGATTGCAATCTCTCTTTTACTTTTCTGCTATCGCCAATCTCAGATTTGTGTGCGTATGTATGTATATCTATGAGTGTATGTATATCTTAATTGCATATATATCTATGAGTGTATGTATGTATATCTGTGACTGCATGTATCTATGAGATAGATCTAGAAAAAAATTGATAAAATTTAAGATAGATTTGGAAAAAAATTGAACAGATAAGAAAATAATCTGACAGATAATTTCAACAGATAGGAATTGCAGCAGATACAGATAGATAGAATTTAGGAAAAAGAATTAAACAAATTGAACAAATAGATAGAAAGAAAGAAAATTTGATTAGATAGTCCAAAAAATTAAACAAATAGATATAAATTTGAATAGATATATAGAATTTAGGGAAAAAATTGAACATATAAGGGAAAAAATTGAACATAAATTCAAAAAATTTGAACAGATAGACAAAATATTTGAATAGATAGATAAAAAGTTTGAACAGATGAAAAATAATTTGAACATGTAAAAGAAAAATTTGAACAGATAGATATAAATTTGACAAATAATCAACGAAAAGAATGGGTAAAATTGAAAATAAAATATTTTTCAGAATTTCTCATCAAACTATTTTACAAAATGTGAACCTTTCACTAACAAAATAATATATACTAAATTTAATACCTTATACTCTTTTTAGATTAGATTTATCACTAATTTATTCTATTAAAAAAGTTTTATTTATTTATTTTTAATGAAAGACGGTGCACGCACCAGGTTAATCTATTTTCTTTGACAAGGACGGTCCTCATGAAATGAAAGAACGTGCACGCACCATGTTTATTGTCTTTCTCTCTCTTCAAATCTGATGAAGACAACATGAAGTGATCTCTCACAATCACAAGGGCTGTCTTGTTAGCAAAAAATCACATGAAAAATAAGAGGATAAATCATAAACGGGAAATTACCACCAGTGGTAATTTTTAAAATTTATTAACATTGGTTGAGAAATTTATAATTTTAATTATTTATATTTATAATATTTATCACTTATTGATAATTATTTATCTAATTTCCTCCTGCATGTTATTTCCCTAATTATATATAAATACACTTTTTAAAATTTGTTTAAAATATGAATTATTTTTTGTGATTTTAAAAATTATAAATATTTTTTTGTCAGAATTTTTTAGTTAATAAAATTAACAAAACATAAATAAAATTTTTAACTACTCTCCTATACAACAATAAAATTATATGAATTTTTAATTGAAGTATATTTTTAACATAATTAAAAACTGTTAATTGACTTGATAATTTATTAATAAAACGGATAATTTTTTATACGATTAGAAACTTAAAAGGGTGTGTGATGTAATTTTTAAAATCACATAGAACTATTTGTATTTTAATTTATCAAAAACAAAATGATGAGGTGAAACAAATGAGTTAATCAGTTGAATTAATATTAATAATCATAAATTTGATGTTAAAATCACTATATATACACTGCTTAAATAATGATGGAACTCATTGAGCTACAAAACCACCTTCCTTCTCCCAACATGCCCTGTTTGGGGCCAGGATTCTGGGAAAGAAATACAATTTCTTCTTGTCGGCAACTTTGTCTATGCAAACATTTTAATTTTTTTATTTTATCTTTCTCTGATTGAGAGAGTACCATTTTTTTAGAACTGCAGAAAAATTGAGGAATAAAAAAAATTACAATATATATGGAAATTTGAAAATTAATTTTAAAAAAACATAGTAAAATTATGCTTTTGTCTCTTGCTGGCTATCCTCTTCGCTACATTCTCCTCTCTCTTCCTCCTCGCTCCTCTACCATCTATAGTCGACGACCAGCCCTCTCTAACCCTTCTCAACTATTACTTGCCCCTCCTCCATCCTTTTTAGCCATCGCTAGCCTCTCCCAACCCTCTCACCTTTTCTAACTCTTCCTCAACCTTCTTTGCACATCTCCTACTACCGCGCAAGCCCTACCTTATCCCCAACCCCAACCCTAATCCCAATTTCAGTCCCAGTCTCCTCTCTCTACCACTACTATGATACCCTAGGAGGCAGTAGTGAGAAAAAGGGACTAGCGATGGGCAAATAGGGTTGAGGAAGGGTGAGAGAGAGATTGAACAAGGATTAGGGGTGGTCTCCTGCTAGGAGGGTGGGAAAGAGAT